GTAGTGAAACACCAAACTTATACTTTGCTAGAAATGAAAACAAAGAGTTTTATTGAAGGATAAAAAGTTTTTCACGAAACGGAAGACACATAAGCACCCAGGCAGGATGCTGCAGTGTCCAAATTGCAAGAAGAGAGTGAGGCTTTTATCAGGTGGAGTAAACAAAGGGCTTCATGCTCACAGGCGGAGGTACAAGGCAAAAGTTACAAGGAGTTTGTCAGATTACAACTTTCTTAACATTAATCTCTAACCTCCGGGAACTTGTTTGACTAAGACATTCTTCTTAACATCAGCAAGTCTATTTGTTAACATCTTGGGGAACAACTGAGTCAACTTTTTGCATGTTTTCCTCTCCCTCTTATTTTAAGGTAACAGGCTATACTTTCACAGATTTAGTTAGCAGAAACGGAGCTTAGTTCTCAGTGAGTGAATGAAGTCTGATTTGAGGGAGTCAGTAAATTAGAACTAAGACTTGGTTGTTTGAAGCTTACCTCATCTTGGTTACAGAGTTATGAGACAATTACAATTACAGGGCCTTGTCTTTACTTAATATTATCAGTTCTATTTCCTAACCTCCAGGGACAATGTTGACTAAAAGTATTCTGCCTAGGACAAGGTGCGTAAACATTCTTAGCAAGCACCTTTTAACAAAAAATTCCTAGTACAAGCTAAAGTCTTGAGCCTTGATACAGTTAAGCTTCTGCAAGGTGCTGAATTGTCTTTTCAGCAAAACCAGAAGCTTCTGGGTCAGACTGCAGTTTGATTCAAAATGGAGTTTAATTTAGATTTGAGTAGGCCACCTTAGATCATGCCAGGCACCCTGGTTTTAAGGTACGCATACACAAAGGATAGAGATAACTTATTTTTTCTCTACATGGGACCATGTATCCCTCATCCCAATTTTGGACACTTTTACAAATGAATTCTCACTTAAGTCATTGCGTTGATAGGGCTTTTACAGTCATTCTTTCTTTTTTAAAATAACAGCTTTATTGAGATATTCATATACCATACAATTCATCCATTTAAAGTGTACAATTCATTGTTTTTTAGTATATTGACAGTTGTGCAACCATAACCACAATCAATTTCAGAACAATTTTCATCACCCCAAAAAGAAATTTGGTACAATTTAGCAGTCATCCCTTTCCTCCGCCAGTTCCTCTTAACCCTGGGCAACCACTGATGTACTTTTTGTCTCTAGATTTGCCTTTTCTGAGTTTGCGTATAAATAAAATCTTATAATATGTGGTCTTTTGTGACTGGCTTCTTTCACTTGGCATAATGTTTTCAAGGTTCATCCATATTATAACATGTGTCAGTACTTCATTTCTTTTTATTGACAAAAAATACTCTGTTGTATGGATATACCACATTTCATTTATCCATTCACCATTGATGGACATTTCGATTTTTTCCACATTTTGGCTATTATAAATAATGGTGCTGTGAACACTGGTGTACAAGTCTTTGGGTGGACGTAATATTTTCATTTCTCCTGTGTATATTTATACCATGGAGTGAAGTTGCTGGATTATAGGGTAGCTCTATGTTTGTCCTTTGGAGCAGCTTCCAAACTGTTTTCCAGTGTGGCTGCACCATTTTACAAATTCCTCTGCCAATTGTGAAGGTTCCAGTTTCCTCACCAACACTTGTCAGTATCTGTCTTTTTGATTCTAAGTATTTTACTGAGTGTGAAGTGGTGTATCATTGTGGTTTTGATTTGCATCCCCCTTATGACTAATGATGTTGACCATCTTTTCATGTGCTTATTGGCCATTTGGTATCTCATTGTGATCAATCATTTGTTTTCAACGTAATAAACAGTAGGTTACTTTCTGTCATTTTGAGTTAGGGAGATTTTCCTCTAATCTTTTTTCTTGAAAGTAGATTTACTCATTGAAATGAAGTTTTTTCCCAACTATGTTTATGTATACAATTCAGTGACATTAATTAAATTCACCTTGTTGTGCAGCCATCACCAGTATCTGTTTGAAATGGAATTTTTGGAATTCAGTTACTTCAGAATATAATTGTTTATATCTCGTTCATTTGATTGCTTATGTATGTCAGAGTAACTCTAACTTAGAATTTCAACACCTTCTCCAATGTCATAAAGGAGGCTTATGGTATTAGGGGGATGAAATGTTCTTTATGTTTTTGCCTTTTGAGTTTCTTAACTTTATATTTTGAGATAATTTTACAGAAAACTTGCAAGAACTGAGTTTATCATTTCCTCTCTATAACACACATTATTTATTTATTTATTTTTGTGAACCTTTTGAGAGTAAGGTGCAGGTATGTCTTTTACTCCTGAATACATCAACGTGGATTTCTTGAGAACAAGGACATTCGTAATCCCAGTACAATTACTAGTTTTCAAAATACGGGACTTTATCATTGATGTTATACTCTAAAGTACAGACATTATTCAAATTTTGTCCCAGTAATTTCCATTATGAAGTTTATTTTTCCTTCTGCTGCAAGATCCAATTCAGGATCACACAATGCATGTAATTGTCATGCCTCACTTGCCTCCTTTATCTAGAATTTGTTTCTTGACTTTATCTTTTAAACTAGTAAAATCACTTTTGAGTAAACCATTAAAAAACCAGTTACCATTGAGTCAGCTCCAGTTCATGGTGACCTCATGTGTTTCAGAGTAGAACTGTGCTCCACAGGGTTTTCAGTGGCTTCTTTTTGGAAGTAGATCACCAGGCCTCTCTTCTGAGGTGCCTCTGGGTAGACTTGAACTTCCAGCCTTTCAGGTAGCAGCTAAGCATGTTAACCATTCACACCACCCAGGAACTCCAAAATCATTAACAGTAAAAATTAAATCTTAAATCATGTTTTACTGACCGGTATATATTTTAAAATGTTATTAGAACTTAGGCTTTTTTTAATTGCAGAAAGTCAAGTTCATAGTGATATCTAAATTGTAGCCCTCCAAAAATATTTTTCAAACATTGTGCTGCAGATTTTTTTTTTTTAAATTCAGAAACGTTTTACTGGGCATCTGTTTTGTGCTAGTATTTGCTGAGCTTTAGTCTGTATAATAATGGTAGATAACATTTCACATTTTAGGTATTAACAAACCAGTGCAAGACAAGTGTTATGGATTGAATTGTGTCCCCCAGCTTGTAGGCCATGATTCCCAGTATTGTGTGATTGACCACCATTTTGTCATCTGATATGATTTTCCCATGCGTTATAAATCCCAACTTCTATGATGTTAATGAGGCAGGATTAGAGGCATTATGTTAATGAGGCAGGACTCAATCTACAGGATTAGATTGTATCTTGAATCAGTCTCTTCTGAGATATAAAAGAGAGAATCGAGCAAAGAGACAGGAGAACCTTATGGCACCAAGAGTGAAGATCCAGGAGGGGAGCGTGTCCTTTGGACCCGGGATCCCTGTGCTTAGAAGCTACTGGACCAGGGAAGATTGATGATAAGGACCTTCCCCCAGAGCCGACAGAGAAAGCCTTCCCTGGAGCTGCACCCTGAATTCGGACTTCTAACCTAGACTATGAGAGAATAAGTTTCTCTTTGTTAAAGCCATCCACTTGTGATATTTCTGTTACAGCAGTGCTAGATGACTAAGATACCAAGATAAACTGGATTAGAGTTCTGCTGTAAATGAAGTTCTAGTGGATGGGCCTCTGAATGCAAGGTGTAGTAGCAAGCTAGGACACCAGCAGAGGAAGATTATTCTGAATTCAGGAAGAAGGGCTGAGTTCATGATCATGAGATTTATAATGGTGAGAGGGGATAGCCAGGGGAAAGTTTTTGAAGAAGGTAAATTAGTTTTGGTTCTTTGCTCTTCAGTTGAGTCAGGAAGTCTATCTAAGGAGCCAGATTTCAATTTTAGGAGTTCAGTAGATGGAAAGCAGCCATGAGTTCAAAGGGAGGTAAGCTGGGAATGGTGACCTGATGGCCTGGTAGAAGAGGTTATGTGCTCTCTATTGAATTAATACACCCTGGTTTGTTTGAGAAGACAAAGGCTGGGAAGGAGAGAGACAGGCAAAGCTCAGAAGTTGTTTATAGCCAGTGACCAAGTCTTCTGGTGAGTGGTTTAAGATTTAAAAATGAATATTTTTCTTTTATTAGGAGTCAACAATTTCAAAAGGAATAGATTTACTTAAAAATAGTTATTAAACACTTTTTCTTTATATTAGGAATTCAGTACTATGTATAAATATGTCACTGTTTTACTAAGGCAATGTTTGCTTTGTTTTTAAGCACTTAGAGATTTGTTTGATTCCATGGATAAAACTTCTTCTAGTATTCCACCCATTATTCTACTGCAATTTTTGCACATGGCATTCCCACAGTTTGCAGAGAAGGGCGAACAAGGACAGTATCTTCAACAGGTAATTACATCAAGGTTTTGTGGCTTTCATTTTGTAAAACTTAGGTTTCCTATAGTTGCTACTATCACCCTACTTGATTGGCATATATTTGGAAATACAAATATTAGTCCACCCTCGTTCACATAACCATTATCTCTTGCCTTTACTGTTGTATAGTCTATTAAATGATCATCCTACTTTTGTGTTTGTCATTCTGTAGCTTTTCTCCACGTAGCTCCCGTGTTCTTTTTTTTAAATTTTATTTTGGTAGCCAAAAACCCATAGCTGACGAGTTGATTCTGACTCATAGCGACCCTATAGGGCAGAGTAAAACTGCTCCATAGGGTTTCCAAGGGGTAGCTGGTGGATTCGAACTGCCGGCCTTTTGGTTAGCAGATGAGCTGTTAACCACTGCGCCACCAGGGCCTTTATTTTGGTAAAAACATATATAAATTCGTCATTTTAACCATTTTTAAGCATTACAGTCACAATATGGACCATCACCACTATTTCCGTAAGTTTTGTATCATCCCAGAGAAAGACCTGTACTCTTTAAGCAATAACTCCCCATTCCTCCCTACCCCAGCCTCTGCTAACCACTAATCAATCTACTTTTGCCTATTCTAGATATTTGATGTGAGATCACACAATATTTGTCCTTTTGTGACTGACTGCTTTCCAGAGTTCTTTCGTGTTGTACCATGTATCATTTCTCTTTATGGCTGGATAATATTCCATTGTATGTATATACTCCATTCATCTGTTGGTAGATACTTGGGTTGTTTCCACTTTTTGGCTATTGTGAATAATTCTGCAGTGAAAATTGACGTGCAAGTGTCTTGTCTGAGTCCCATTTTCAATTCTGTTGGGCATATACCTAGAAGTGGAATTGCTGGGTCATATGGTAATTTTATGTTTAATTTTTGAGGGACTGCCAAACTTTTTTCCACAGCAGCTTGTACCATTTTACATTACCTTCAGCAGTGTGTGAGGGTCCCAGTTTTTCCACATCCTTGCCAACATGTTATTTTCCTTTCGTTATTATTATTATTATTATTATTTTTTAATAATAGCCATTCTGTTGTTGTTGTGTGCCTTTGAGTTGATTCAGACTCATAGCAACCCTGTATGACAGAGTGGAACTGCCCTATAGGGTTTCCTAGGCTGGAATGTTTATGGAGGTTGTCAGGTCTTTCTCCAGTGGAGCCATTGGTGGGTTTGAACTGCCAACCTTTAGGTTAACAACCTAGCGTTTAACCATTGCACTGCCAGGGCTCCTTTAATGGCCATCCTACCTGTTTCCGTTGAGTCAGTTCTGATGCTTAGCAACCCTATAGGACAGAGTAGAACTGTCCCCATAGAGTTTCCAAGACTGTAGTCTTTAGGGGAGCAGACTGCCACGTCTTTCTCACATGAAGCCGCTGGTGAGTTTGAACCCCTGACTTTTTGATTAGCATTCAAGTACTTAACCACTGCACCACCAGGGCTTCTCGTAGTCAACCTAACCAAACCAAACCTGTTGCCGTCAAGTTGATTCTGACTCACAGCGACTCTTTAGGACAGAGTAGAACTGCCCCATAAGGTTTCCAAGGAGAGACTGGTGGATTTGATGTGCCGACCTTTTGGTTAGCAATCGAGCTCTTAACCACTGTGTTGAGCTCTTAACCACCAGGACTCTATAGCCAACCTAGTGGGTGTAAGTTATAGTTTTGATTTGCATTTCCCTAATGTCTAATGATGTTGAACATCTTTTTATGTGCTTATGAATGAATGAACTACTTTATTTGAAGATCACATAGTTTTTAATTTGGCTAATTATTTTTAAAGATGAAAACAGCTTTCTCCTCTAAGGAAACAGTAATTATTTTGGAAGGATTTTATAGACCAAACACCTCCATAGCCTGAGTTACTTATTGTGTCTTTTGTTTTTAATCACAGGATGCTAATGAATGTTGGGTACAAATGATGCGAGTATTGCAACAGAAATTGGAAGCCTTAGAGGATGATTCTGTTAAAGAGGTAACTGAAATATATCGTGATTGGAGACATTCATTATACCTTGATTTTGTTTGTTTTTGTTTTTCCTCCCCCAAAGGCTTTGATATAAATTCATCTTAGTAGGTAAATATGTACTTGAATATTTTAGATGCTCAGTCCATAATCAGTATTTGAAAGCTGGCATTTGAGACTTGAATTCAATGTATTATTTATTAAACTTAATCCATTGATATTGTTGAGCATCTGTAATCTTTTGGTAATGTGTTGATATCTATATAAAGTAAAACTGGATTTTTAATTTCGTTTTAATTTTTGCAGACAGATTCTTCATCTGCATCAGCAGTGACACCTTCTAAAAAGAAAAGTTTAATTGATCAGTTCTTCGGTGTTGAGTTTGAAACTACGTATCCTTATGAGCCAAGATTTATATAGACTGTACTCATAACTTACTAGAGATGAATGGGGTGGTGGATGGGATATGAAGAAAAGAGACTTTTCAGAGGTTTTTATGCCTAGACATCAGGAATTTGGGAAATATATACCCACTTGTGTGATCTTGAAGTTTAGATAAATGTACACTTTAAGGATATCCATTATTTTTTGCTACAGATATTTTTAGCAGAATCTACCTCACTAGTTCATCTCATAGAGAATTACTTTTTAATTATGTACAACAGAGTGTATCAGTCAACTAAACTGTGTACATGAGATAGAATCAATACGTAAGACATGAATTCATGGAAGTACTATTCTCGAGATCACGGGAAGGAACTTAGAAAAGCTTTGTGTTTATCTGTGGATCATAAAGGGTATGTTAAGACCATAGTAAATACTAACTTACATTCATTTAGAGTTCATCATTTGCAGTTTATCCTTTTATACATATTCATTATTCAGTGTTGTTTTTAAAGTTGTTGGCAGGAGAATGAACATTCTAAAGTATATTGAACTGGAATCTCTTATCGTGAGACCAAAATGTTTTAAATACTACTGTCAATTTTAATAGCATCAGGATAATTTATTATATTCAACATTATCTAGCAAATTGAATACCTATTGGTATATTCCTTATCTTATTTCACAAAGCATGAAATGTACAGAATCTGAAGAAGAAGAAGTCACTAAAGGAAAGGAAAATCAGCTTCAGCTTAGCTGCTTTATCAATCAAGAAGTCAAGTATCTTTTTACAGGACTTAAACTGGTAAGGACAATTCTATTCAGAAATCAGATAAACTTCAACATAGCTTCTAATTTCATAGACATAAACATTAGTAACATTGTTTCATATACTATTAAATATCGACATATCTCACTTTAAATCAATAAGGGTACTCCTGTAGCTGCACCCTGGTGGTACAGTGGTTAAGCATTCAGCTGCTAACCAAAAGGGTGGCAGTTCGAATCCACCAGCCATTCCTTCAGAACCCTATGGGGCAGTTCTACCCTGAGTAGAGTTGGAATTGACTTGACAGCAACGTATTAGGTTTTTTGGTTTTTGTAGCTCATATGATAAAGTAACACCTAGTGCTTTGTGCTGTGTCTTTATTTTAGAGCTCTCAGTAAACGTTTGTTGAATGAGAGATTTATTTTTACCTTAGATGTATTTGTTTTTATGGGCCCTGTAACTTACTTGGGGTATTTCCTTAAGGCAGATTACTTACTCCAAGGTTCTGTTTTCTTACATGAAAAATGAGAGTAATTAGAGGGTATTTGTGAAAATTAAATGAGAATCCATATTATGGTCTGACTGCAAAGATCTTGCTGTTAACTGTTATGGATGACCATATAACTTATTGTCCAGACTAGGGCACTTTTGAGAGTGAATGGGGTATTTTAATAATTACGAGGCATAAACTGGGATTGTACCGTGCATATTGGCATAGAATCATTCCACTGTTACACTGTATTGCCTTGAGGCCCTAGAATTTAAGTGAGTTAATTGATTTGTGGCAGAGCCATAACTAGAACTTGCTTTTCTCAGTATTCAGTCAGTATTATTTCATCAGTGCCATACTAAAGAAGTACACACTCACATAAAATGTATACTTCCTCTGCCCATTGATAAAATGTTAACAGTTTCGCTTGCCGTCTTATGAATTTGGAATGTTTTGGGGGAATATATATATCTTCTGAAGGGTCTTTCAGTGTGAACCATACCTCCTTTTAATAATTTTCAAATTGCAGTTCAAATGATTTTACTGACTTTCAAAAGCGCTGAAAATTGAGATGATTTTAAAAGTTTGTTATTGTAAGAAAGATAATTTGTAAGAGGGCCTGGAGAGCAGAATTTTAAAAAAATTTGATTGGTTCTTATAGCTGTTTTCTCTAGCCATGACCGGTAAGTAGAGGTCTTTAAGAAAGAAAAGTAATTAAGCAAAAACCAAAACCAGACCCATTGCCAGCGAGTTGATTCCGACTCATTGCAACCCTATAGGACAGTGTAGAACTGCCCCGTAGGATTTCCAATGCCGTAAATCTTTACGGAGGCAGACTGCCATATCTTTCTCCTGTGGGGTGGCTGGTGGATTCACACCACTAACCTTTCAGTTAGCAGCCGAGCACTTAACCACTGAGTCACCAGGGTGCCTTAATTGAGCAAAGGCAACGAAATACAGTGAAATGTTTGAGTAGGTACTTTGTACAGATGACTTATTTAGGGAGGAGGGATGGGCTGATAGGCAGTGAGGTTAGGGTAGGAATTACACTGATAAACAAGATAATCATTTGCAAGGGAGCACCCATCTATAGTTTGAGGTAAAGTTGGCAAGGGAATGAGTTGGTGAATGTAGATGTAAGAAGAGAGAGAGTGATACCGAGGGGAGAATTGTGGTTGATGGTGTGGATATGGTGTAGTCCATAATGGCTTTTAAAGGAAGTTCATTTTAAAAGCACTCAAAAACTAGCTACCTGCCAAGAGTCCTAAAACATAAATTATGGCCTGCACGTTTCAGGGTATCAAAAAATGAAGTATAAATATTAACTGCAGTGTGGAATGGAGTGTTTTGGCAGTGACTCTCCAGTATGCTATTTTCTTCATAATTTGTAAAATATAGAAAATGAAATAAACCTGGAATTTCTAGATGATAGGGGATTATTGGTAATAGAGTTTATCTGATGATTAATAGCATCATGCCAGATGTGCTTTCTATTTCTTTAATATGCTTTATTTTTTAGAGCAGTTTTAAGTTCATAGAAAAATTATGCAGAAGGTACAGAGTTCCCAGATACCCCTCTTTTCCCTGCACGTGAGTTATGTAGGTATCTTATAAAAGAGTATTTCCAGTTTCTCTCGCCCATACCTTATAGGATTGCTGTTGTACATTTCACTTAAACATAAGCTGTAATCATCCATTATATTGTTGCTATTGTTATTTTGAACCATTAGATCAGTTAATAATAAGAAAAAAAAAAGATTTTATTTTCATGTATTTCTTCTCCACCACTCTTCTTTTTTTATGTAGATTTGAGTTTCTGACCTTTATCATTTTCCTTCTTTCTTAACTTATTTTAACGTATCTTGCAAGACAGATCTACTGCTTGCCATCTAGTTGATTCTGACTCACAGTAACTCCATGTGTGTCAGAGTAGAACTGCTTTGTAGGGTTTTCAGTGACTGATTATTTGGAAATAAATTGTTAGGCCTTTCTTCCCAGGCACCTCTGGCTGCATTTGAACCTCCAGCCTTTTGGTTTGCAGCTGAGCACATTAACCGTTTTCACCACTCGGGGTCTTGCAAGGCAGGTTTACTGGCAACAGATCCCCTCAATTTTTGTTTGTCCCATTCACTTTTGAAGGATAATTTCACTGAGCACAGAATTCTAGGCTGGTGGGTTTTTTCTTTCAACACGTTAAATATTTCATTCCATTCTCTTCTTGCTTGCATGGTTTCTGAAGAGAAGTCCAATGTAATTCTTATCCTTGTTACTCTGTAGGTAAGATGTTGTCGTCTCCCCACCCCCGCCCCGGCTTCTTTCAAGATTTCTTTCTGTCTTTGATTTTCTGTAGTTTCAGTATGATATGCCTAGGTGTAGATTTTTTGGTATTCTGCTTAGTGTTGTCTGAGCTTCCTGGATCTGTGGTTTGGTGTCTTTCAATAATTTTTGAAAATTCTCAGCCGCTGTGCACATATTTTTCTCTTCCTTTTGTTCCTCTTCTTCTGGTATTACCATTACATATATGTTAAACTTTTGTAATTGTCCCATAATTCTAAGATACTCTTCCATTTTTTTTCATACTTTCTTTTCTCCTTTGTATTTCATTTTAGGAAGTTTCTTTTGACCTATCTTCAAGTTCAGTGATTCTCTCCTTGGCTTTGTCATCTACTGATGAGCCCATCAAAGGCTTTCTTCACTTTCTTTTGATTCTTTCTTAGAGTTTCCATCCCTCTGTTTTTGCATGTTGTCCAATTTTTCTGTTAAAGCCTTTAGCGTATTAATCATAGTTAGTTTAAAAATTTTGGTCTGCTCTTTCCAAAATCTCTGCTATATGAGTCTGGTTCTGATACCTGCCTTGTCTCCTCAGACTGTTTTTATTTTTTGCCTTTTATCATGCCTTGTAATTTTTTGTTGAAAGGTAGACACGGTGTAAAAGGAACCGAGGTAAATAGGACTTTGATGTAAAGTTCTGTTTTATCTGGTTAGCATCAAGCTTTTTACTATTATAGCTGTAGATGTCAGAGGCTAAAATTTCCTCTGGTGTCCTTGTTTTTTGTCTCCCCTGTTGTATTTAGGTTTTCCAGAGACTCCTTAAATAGGGTCTGAGCCTTGCAGTTCTCTTTTCCTGTAGTCTGCTGTTATTTTACAGGGGCCCTATTGATGTGATGGTTAGATGTGGGGAAGGAAAAGCATTTTATGATCCTGTACTAGATCTCAAGTCTTTTAGTAAGTCTGTGCCTTTGGTCTGTGACCTTCACAAGTGCTTCTTATTTTTTTCCCCACTCCCTAGGTAAGATAGAAGGGCTAGAGGGTTGTCAGTTAGGCTCTGGTGAAACCCATGCTAGTTGCGCTTGGATCAAAAAAAACAAACAACAAACTTGTTGCTGTCTAGTTGATTCCGACTCACAGCAACCATATAGCACAGAGTAGAGCCACCCCGTAGGGTTTCCAAGGAATGGCTGGTGGAGTCAAACTGCCAGCCTTTTGGTTCGCAGCTGAAGTCTTAACCACTGTGCCACCAGGGCTTCAGGCTTGGATAGGCTTTGGTAGAATAGTTTCTTTTGAGGGCAGGCCATTGTTACAGGAGAACAGAGGGCTGTAGGCATGTTTCTAGATGGTTGCTTTTCCTGTCCCCCTGCTGGAGGCATAAGGGGATCATTCTCCGATGTGAGAACTTGGTGGGGCTCCTGGAAGTAATGGGGTTCCTAAGGTTGGACCTCCAAGAATTTTTACCTCTTAAGCTATGAGTCAGAATTGACTAGACACCAATGAGTTTGTTTTTTTAAGCTAGCCCTAGCTTAGTCTCTAGCAATTAGTCAATTGCCCTTTAATTATTCCTACCTGATGCTAGGTCCAGCAGTAGTTTCTGCTGCTGGTAAGCTGTGATTTTCTGTATCTGTATGTATCTCTAGTTTTCAGGACAGTGGTTTGCCCTGTGACCTCAATTCTCTGATGGATCTAAGAAGAGTTGTTGATTTTAATTTTTTTAGTTTTTTCTTGTTTTGAAAATGGGAGTGATGACTTCCAGGCACTTTACATCTTAGACTAGAACCAGAAATTTTGATTAGCACATTTTTAAAATTGAATTTTAAAATGTTATTACAGAAGTGTAACATGCTTATAATGAACGTTAACAGTAAATTGTTTTAACTGTGATTTCCTGTATATTTATTTTGTTAAAGTATAGCACATTAGTAGTGTTGATTTTAAAAGAATCAAAACTGTGATGTAATATTGCAAAAAAATTTTTTTACAACTGACGTTTGCTCTTCCATTACATTCTTTTTTTAGCGACTTCAGGAAGAAATCACCAAACAGTCTCCAACATTGCAGAGAAATGCTTTGTACATCAAATCTGTAAGTTGTGCATTTCCTTTCCATTTCATTGAAAGGTTTTCAGTTAATTAATGTAATACAGTCTTTGTTTTTACCACCAAGGAATTAAAAACCTGCATAGTATTTGAATGTAATAAGATTTCTTTCCATTTTCTCTCTTTAGTCCAAGATCAGCCGGCTGCCTGCTTACTTGACTATTCAGATGGTTCGATTTTTTTATAAAGAGAAGGAATCTGTGAATGCCAAAGTTCTTAAGGTTAGTAGTGAACTTTTGTTTGTATAATGAATTACTGTAATTCTTTGAAGGTAGTCCCTAACTTACAATAGGTTTCTTTATTACTTCAGGGGTAGTTGAGCTTTCTTCAGATTGTTTAGGGGAGTTATTAACATTAGAGAAGTAGTTCTTAATCAGGAATGCATATTGGAATTATTATCTTTTTTTTCATCATACACAGGTATGGCTTCTATCAAACGTGATTAAGTCTTGGGTGGGGCTTAAGTTTTATATTTTAGAAAAGATTCACAAATAATTCTGGTGACTCCCTACTCCATGGAAACGCTACCCTAGACTATATCTTCAACTCCAGACTTTCAGTAGGGGTAGGGATGGGTTAGGGAGCAGGTATATAGTATGCTGCAATCCGTTTTGAATGGATCCTTTCTTCAGGTGAAAGAAAGAGTTAAATTACTAGTGCTCAAAGAATACTCAAATTATAGTCCCTTGATTTAGGAGCCAACCTTATGATTTAGCTGTTTTTTTTTTGAGCTGTAGTACTACTACATATTTTGTAGAGTCCCTGATCCTTGGATGAGGTGTATAATTTCTTAGCTGAAATTCAGAATACATTTTCCAGTATACTTAGTGTTGTATGAGACGGTTAAATATAGTTGAAGTATCTACTAGTGTTAAATTTAAATGTATGATAATTTTAGTAATTCAACTACATCACTGTTGTTTCTTTGTAAAATTGTATTTTAAGTAAGAGAAAAAGGTCATAAATGACTCCATTTGTAAGTTGATTCCACATCCAGTTTTGAGGATCTATCGTTTTTATAGCAGTTGGCCTAATACTTCTGAAATGCTTCTTCTCCCATATAAATTGTAGTAGTTCCTCTGTGGTCATTATCATGGGTTAGAACGTTTAATGACAAAAGAATATTTTGAAAATTTCTTTTCTTAAAAATGTTAGAACCAGATTCACTTCGTTTTTAAATTGTATTTTAGATGAAGGTTTACAGAGCAAATTATTTTCTTATTAAACAGTTAATACACATATTGTTTTGTAATATTGTTTGCCAATCCCATGACATGTCAACACTCTCCCCTTCTCGACCTTGGGTTCCTTGTTACCAGCTTTCCTGTCCCTTCCTGCCTTCTCGTCCTTACCTCGGGGCTGATGTGCCCATTTAGTCTCGTTTTGTTTCATGGGCCTGTCTAATCTTTGGCTGAAAATTGAACTTCAGGAGTGACTTCATTACTGAATTGAAAGGGTGTCTGGGGGCCATACTCTCAGGGTTTCCGCAGTCTCTGTCAGACTAGTAAGTCTTTTCTTTTTTTTGTGAGTTATAATTTTGTTCTACATTTTTCTCCAGCTCTGTCTGGGACCCTCTATTGTGATCCCTGTCAGAGCAGTTGGTGATGGTAGCCGGGCACCATCTACTTGTTCTGGACTCAGTCTGGTGGAGTCTGTGGTAGTTGTGGTCCATTAATCCTTTGGACTAATCTTTCCCTTGTGTCTTTGGTTTTCTTCATTCTCCCTTGCTCCAGATGGGGTGGAACCAGTGGAGTATCTTAGATGGCCATTCATAAGCTTTTAAGACCCAGACGCTATTCACCAAAGTAGGATGTGAAACATTTTCTTTATGAATTATGTTATGTCAGTTGAGCTAGATGTTCCCTGAGACCATGGTCCCCAGCCTTCAGCCCAGTAATTTGGTCCCTTCGGGAGTTTGGATGTGTCTATAAAGCTTCCATGACCTTGCCTTCGTTAGGTTGTGCTGACTTCTCTGGTATTGTGTACTGTTTTACCCTTTTTTGTTTTTTAAATGTCCATTAATTTAATTCTTTCTGCAAACTGGGGGGGAAAAGGGAGCATTATTCAGTTATTAAAATATTTATATAATTTTATTTTGTTGAGAATATATGCAGCAAAACACACCAACTCAACAGTTTCTACATGTATGATTCAGTGACATCGAATACATTCTTTGAGTTGTGCAACCGTTCTCGCTTCTTTCCTGAGTTGTTCCTCCCTCATTAACATAAACTCACTGGCCCCTACGGTTCCCGTCCAATCTTTCAAGTTGTTCTTGTCAGTTTGATCCCATACAAGTAGTTCTTAAAAGAGCATAATGCTTAAGGCAGACATTTTTTACTAATTAAGCTAAACTATTGTTTGGTTTTAAGAAAACTTCAGAGAATATTTTTGGTTCAAGTTTCAAAGATTATCTCAGGGCAGTAGTTTCAGGGGTTCATCACCCTCCATGGCTCCAGAAAGTCTAGAATCCATGAGAATTTGCAATTGTGTTCTGTGTATTCTCCCTGTTGATCAGGATTCTTGTTCAGTCATGGTAGCCAGATACCATCCAGTTCTTCTCGTCTCATGACAAAGGAGGCAGTTGTTCATGGAGGCAGTTTGCCACACATTCCATGTCCTCCTCCTGTTCCTGACTCTCCTTCCTCTTTTCCAGGCAAATGGAGACCGATTGTTGTGCCTTGGATGGCTGCTTGCAAGCTTTTAAGATCTCAGGCACTTATGCAGTGAACTAGGAGGTAGAGCGGAGGCACTAAACATGTTACTCAGATTCACTCTTGAAAATAAGCACTAAAAGTTTTTCACCTGCAAAGATTTCTGAGCGATTTTCAAGGATTTTATTTTCAACTTTATTTGCATTGTGAAAGCATTAGTTTAAAACTATGATAGACATTTTAAATAACTTGCTTGACTATCCTGATAAGTATTTTTACACATTTTTTTTTCTTTTTGTTTATATATAGGATGTTAAATTTCCTCTTATGTTGGATGTGTATGAACTATGTACACCAGAACTTCAAGAGAAAATGGTCTCTTTTCGGTCAAAATTCAAGGATCTAGAAGATAAAAAAGTGAATCAGCAACCAAAGATAGTAGGTTCTTACTGACAACTTTCTAATAATATTTTAATCTCCTCTCAGTTCTCAACAACTACTTTGTATTGTTAATCAGTAAGTAAAAATGGATGAACATATATTTCAGTTTGCATATATACACATCCTATATATATTGGTGCTGACCTTTAACATTTTAGGTATATTTTAGCATAAGAAACAAGAACTCTAGTTATGGTAAATGAGTCTATTATGAATAAAACTACAATAAACATTCATGTACAGGGTTTACTATGGACATAAGTTTTCATTTCTCTTGTTAAATGTCCAAGAGTGCTATGACTAGGTTGCATGCTGGTTGCATATTTAGCTTTTAAGAAACTTCAAAATTGTTTTCCAGATTAATTGTACTGTTTTACATTCTCATTCATACTGTATGGCTTACTTTCTCTGCATCCTTCCCAGCATTTGCTGTTCTCACTATTTTTCATTTTAGCCATTCTGAGAAGTTTGCAACCATTCTTTTGGGTTCATTGTAGTTTTAATTTGCATTTCCCTAATGCTAGTGAGGAGTCCCTGGGTGGAGCAAAGGGTTGGTTGGAATCTACCCAGAGGTGCCATGGAAGACAGGCTTGACAATCTGCTTCTGAAAGGTCACAGTCTTGAAAACCCTATGGAGCAGTTCTACTCTGCTCACATAGGGTTGTTACGAGCTGGAAATGACTCCAGGGCAACCAGCCAGTCACAACAACAATGGGTAATGCTGTTGAACATTTTATGTACTTGTTTGGCATCTGCCTGTCTTCAGAGAAATGTCTCTATGTATTTTGCCTGAGAGATATCTCTTTATGTATTTTGCCTATTTTCTGTTTCTTTATTTTTACTCTTGAGTTTTGAGAGTTTTTTATATTCTAGATACTAGTCCTTTGTTGGAGCCCTGGTGGCACAGTAGTTAAGAGTTATAGCTGCTAAGCAAAAAGTTGGCAGTCTGAATCCACTACGCACTCTTTGGAAACCCTATGGGGCAGTTCTTCTCTGTCCTATAGGGTCACTGTGAGTCAGAATTGACTGGACGGCAATGGTTTTGGTTTGGTTTTAGTCCTTCACTAAAGTATGTGGTTTTCAAATATTTCTTCCTGTAGTTTGTCTCTTTATCCTCTTAGCCTAGCAGAGTCTTTTACAGAAGAAAAGTTTTTAATTGTGAGGAAATCCAATTTATCTTTTTTTTTTTTTTAGTTGTTTGTACTTTTGGTGTCATATGAGAAATCAGTGTCTAGTCTAAGGCCAAGAAGATTTATGTGTATGTTTTTTTTTTTTTTCTTTAAAGAGTTTTACAGTTTAACTTTTACATATAGGTCTTTGATCCATTCTCTGTTACTTTTTATACATGGTGTGAGGTAAATTTATTCTTTTGTGTGTAGATATCCAGTTATCCCAGTACTGTTTTTTTCTTGAAAAGACTATTCTTTCCCCATTTGTCACGTTTGTTGAAAATCACTTGACTGTAGATGTATGTTTCTGGGCTCTCAGTTTTATTCCATTGGCTTATATGTCTATCCTTAATGTCAGTACCACACTGTCTTGATTACTGTAGCTTTGCAGAAAGTTTTGAAATCATGAAATGTGAGCCCTCCAGCTTTGTTGTTCTTTTTCAAGATTGTTTTGACTTTTCTGAGACTTCTGCATTTCTGTTTGAATCTTAGTGTCAGCTTGTCCATTTCTGGGAAAAAAAAAGTTGGAATTTTGATAGGGATTTCATTGAATCTATAGAGCGTTTGGGGGAATATTGCCATCTTAATATTAAGTTTTCTAATTCATGAACTTGAGATATCTATTTATTTTGCTGTTTAATTTCTTTCAGCAGTGGTTTTGTAGTTTTCAGCAAGCAGTTCTTACACTACTTTGGTTAAATTTATTCCTGGGTATTTTATATTTTTTGATGCTTTTGTAAATGGAATTTTTCTTAATTTACTTTTCAGATCGTTCATTGCTAGTGTATAGAAATATAGCTGGTTTTTGCATTTTGATCTTGTATCCTGCACTTTCCTGAACTTGTTAGCTCTCATAGTTTCTTTCTCTCCTCTTCAGTTTTTTAAAGAGATTGTGTATAACTGATGTTAATTCTTTTTTAAATGTTTGATAGTTTTGTCTGTAAACCATCTGGGCCTAGATATTTCTTTTTGGGGGAGTTTTTAAATTAGAAATTCAGTTTCCTTAATAGTTATTGAAAAAAAAAAAAAGGGAACCAGTTGCCAGTGAGTTGATTTCAACTCATGGTGACCACATAGTTACAGAGCTATTCAGATTATCTATTTCATATTGGCTTAGTTTTTCTAGTAGTTTGTGTTTTCGAGGAAGTGATCCATTTCATCTAGCTTGTTAAATTTATGTGTGTAGAGTTATTCCTGGTGTTCATTTACTATCCTGCAGGACCTGTAGTGATATCACCTGTTTAACCTGATATTGGTAGTTTGTGTCTTCTCTCTTTTTTTCTTTGTCAGTCTTGCTAGAGATTTAATCTTTTCCAAAGAACTGGGTCTTTTTTTCATTGATTTTCTCAGTTGTTTTTCTGGCTTTAATTTGATTTCTGTTCTTATTGTTACTTCCTTTCTTTTGCTTGCTTGGGTTTTATTTTGATTTTCTTTTTTTCCTAGGGTGTTGAGGTGGGAGCTTACATTATTGAGACCTTTCTTCTTTTCTAATATATGTATTTAGTGCTATAGATTTCTATCTCAGCAGTGCTTTCATTGTGTCCCACAAATTTTTATATGTTGTGTTTTCATTTTCATTCAGTTTAATGCATTTTTTAATTTTCCTAAGACTTTCTCTTTGACCATGGATTATTTAGAAATGTGTTGTTTAGTTTCCAAGTGTTTGGATATTTTCTGTTATCTTTTTGTTACTGATTCTAGTTTGATTCCATTGTGGTGAGAGCACACATTCTGTGATTTCAATTAATTGTTGGTTTGTTTTATGGCTTAGGATGTGTTGTGTCTTGGTATATGTTCCATGGACACTTGAAAGTAACGTGTATTCAGCTGTTGTTGGGTAGAATGTTTTATAAATATTGATTAGCTTCGGTTGGTTCAATTTTTCATTACTGTTTTTTTCTAATTGTTTTATCAGTTGTTGACAGAGGCATAGTGAAGTCTCCAAGTATGATTGTGGATTTGTCTGTTTTGTCTTTCAGTTTTACTAGTTTTTGCTTCCCATTTTTTTATTTTGTATCTCTGTTGTTTGGTGCATAGACATTTAGGATTGCTATGTCTTTTTGGTGAATGCGCCCTTTTATCATTATGAAATGTCCTTCTCTGTCCCTCGCAGTTTTCTTTGCTCTGAAGTCTATTTTATCTGATATTAATATAGCTACTGTTGCTTTCTTTTTATTAATCTTTGCATGATATATCTTTTTGCATTCTTTTCAATTTGTTTATATTGTTACATTTGAAGAGTATCTTACAGGCAGCATATAGTTGGGTGAAGTTTTTTAATCTATTCTGCCACCCTCTTTTTAATTGGTGTATTAGAACATTTATGTTTAATGTAATTATTGATAATGTTAGGGCTTAAGTCTGCAACTTTTATTTTTTGCTTTCTGTTTGTTCTGTTTTTCATTTCTTTTTTGTCTTCCTGCGGGTTACTTGAACATTTTGTTACTTGAACAAATAGAACATATTTCCATTTTGATTCATCTGTGTTTTTGAATTTTTGAATGTATCTCTTTGTATGGCCTTTTCAGTGGTTGTTCTGGGTATTAAATTAAATATATGTATTTATTGTCAGTTGTCATCAAGTCGATTTCAACTCATAGTAACTCCATTTATGCAGAGTGAACTGCTTCATAGAGTTTTCAAGGCTGTGACCTTTCGGAAGCAGATTGTAGTCCTGTCTTCTGAGGTGCTGTGGGGGTAGGTTTGAACCGCCAACCTTTCAGCTAGTAGTTGAGTGCCTAACCATTTGCACCACCCAGAGACTCTCTCTTTACAAATAAATAAATAAAAAGAAATGGTGGACCTAATTGCCATTTGTTGTTTTATGATCCTTTGACTTCTTGCCCCTCAGCTATCTTTGAATTGGTGGTGGTGTCATTACCTTTGTAGTTTTTAAAAACTTTGTGCCCATATCCCTAGATAAGTTAGTTATCTTGTTGGCACAACTGAAATGGGCTGAGGCAAGGAGTTCCCACTAAAAGATCCCTGTCTAAAGTAGTAAATCTTTTAAAGTAGGTAAGTATTTGCTGAATAAATATTTCAGTTCATTCTGGGCTGAAATGGCAGGTGGCCATATAAATTGCATTAATTAGACTTATCTTGTGTTTTTGAGACAGGTTTTTTTTCGACGTATGTAGTTTCATAGTATTTTAGTAAAATTATAGAGTCTGATTTTCCTTTATTACTCTAGAGCATTGTTAACTGTACTGCTGTGTTCACAATTATTTTCTAGATTTAGTGCTGTAAAGTTGGTCATAATACTCAGAGTCTGTTATTGTATGTTACATATATCTATATATACACACACAAAAAGGTTTACAGTTGTATGAACTGTAGTTATATCATTTTAGGAATTTATAAGGTAGATTATATTTTGTCTTTGTTTTTCCTTAGTCATTGTACTGTGGACAGTATTTATGGAATTTAATATTCACTGAGAATAAAAATTTATGTTCACAATCATGATTTAAAATTACTTTTTTCCCTCAGAGTGACAAAAAAACTAGTCCTCAGAAGGAAGTTAAGTATGAACCCTTTTCTTTTGCTGATGGTAAGTGAAATTTTCATTTCAGTTGAGTTTTGTGGTGTTTTTTTTTTTATTAACAGTAAAATTATTGTCTTGCCACATCTCTTTACTCATATACCATACTTCTTTTTTTAAAGTCAGGTTTATTGAGATAAAATATCTCAATATGACATACGGAAAAATTCACCCTTTTTGAGTGATCACATACTTCTAAAAACTTCTCAAATGAAGCTTTACCTTTGGCTGGACAGTAGTTTCTTAGTGGATCCTAATAATAGAGTAATACTTCTCTAGTCTGAACTTCAGAGTTATTCTAGTTTGAGAAAGCACGTTTCTACATTTTTTATTATTAATGGAGTCACATGTTTCTTTAGATATTGGTTCCAATAACTGTGGATACTATGACTTACAAGCAGTGCTAACTCATCAGGGAAGGTCTAGTTCTTCGGGTCATTATGTATCATGGGTGAAAAGGAAACAAGGTAAAGATTGTATTATTGTTTTCAACTGTTAACAATTTTACAGTTTATTATAAATTATATAGCATGGTGGTTTACAAAGTTTTTAATGTCAGAACCCCTTTATACATTTTTAATTATTGAAGACCTAAAGAGCTTTTGTTTATGGGGATTACATCTGTTAATATTTATTATATTAGAAATTTAACTGAAAAATTTTAAGAATATTTTTCATTAAAAAAGACCATTATAAACGTCACTATATATTCATATGAAAACTTTTTAAATGAAAATAACTGTTTAAAAAAATTATCACTACATTTTTATAAATTTTTGTTCGTGTCTGACTGAATAGAAGATAGTTGGATTCTCATATCTGCTCCTGCATGCAATCTGTTGCATCATAAACACATCACATAGCCTTTGGAAAATCCTCAAGTACAGTCTGGAGAATGAGGGTAGAAAAGACAAATAATGCTTTAGTATTATGAAAATATTTTTAACTTCATAGAATGCCTGAAATGGTCTTGGGGACCCACTCTCGGGGTCCCCAGGCCACATTTAGACAATTACTGGTATAGCAGATGGAATACTACTATGCATAAAATTGCTCAGTAACTTTTTGCAATGGTCTTCTGAACAAATCCTGTATAATTTTATTTTCTCCCCTCTCTTGCTATTTAGATGAATGGATTAAATTTGATGATGATAAAGTCAGCATCGTTACACCAGAAGATATCTTGCGGCTTTCTGGTGGTGGAGACTGGCATATAGCTTATGTTCTACTCTATGGGCCTCGCAGAGTTGAAATAATGGAAGAGGAAACTGAACAGTAATCTTCATTTTAGCTATTTATGCTTAGGTGTGAAATAAATGTTACTCATTGATCATTTCTGTAATCCAGAGCTTTAGAGGAAGATAATTAGGTGGTTTTATGTGTTTCCCCTCATGTGGAACAAGAGACGGTGGAAGAAGATTTGCAAACCACTCTGTGTATCAATGTAAAAAATTACAGAAAAGAGAAAATATCTTTGGACTGTGCTGCCATGTATAAGGTAGCAGGAAGACATTTTTAAAAAAGCTTATTTCTTGCATAATTTTAAAAAATTCTAAGGTGAAATGCCTTTCAACCTTCTCCCTGCCTTTCGCAGCCCAAGATTGAGCTATCAGATGTTTATTGCACACCTATAACTCTATTATTTGTTGTTGTTCTTGCATGGTTCAAATCACCATTTGGTAGCTGCCCATCCTTTGCCTTATCTAACAAAAATTTTGCCAGGAAGGCAGAAAGGAAAAGTGTTCTCTCATTGTGTAACTCAGTGCTGCTGTCCACATCCCATGGAAACATGGGTACAATCAAGTATTTGTCCAGCCCAACTGGCGACTCAGTCTGTTCTGTTGCTGGCTTTTCATGACTTTAAAATAAATTGTGATCAATAATAGTACATTTGATTATACATTTGTTATTGTGTCTCTCTCTGATGTACTATGGTCTGTACATTTAACTTTGCGATGGTTTTGTAGTAATCAACCTTGAAACAATGTTGACAAGCTCTGGTTGCTTATTTTTAGAAAATGAGGATCTTTAATAAAAAAAAAAAAATAGAGGGAATAACAGCTTTGACCTCAAGTCTTTTGTCTATTGAGTGTTGAAGCCTGACTTAAGAGTTTCAGATATGTTTAATACTATCCAGTTTCTGCAGATGGTTAGTTTTACCCTGCTGTTAAGCATCCAGTTAAACATGTTTGTCATCTTCTTGGAAACCCTGGTGGCGTAGTGGTTAAGAGCTACAGCTGCTAACCAAAAGGCCGGCAGTTTGAATCCACCAGGCGCTCCTTGGAAACCGTATGGGGCAGTTCTACTCTATCCTGTAGGGTCAGTATGAGTCGGAATTGACTCGACGGCAGTGGGTTTGGTTTTTTTAGTTTTGGTCATCTTTTTTGCCTGCTTGTAATATATTCTGTTTAAAAAGAAATACCAAGTTGTAAGAGTAATGGAGCTCTTTGGATGCTGAATGCAGTGATGTTATTATCAGTCATATTTGTTCCTTGGCTCAGTTGTTAAACCCCAAACTCTTAATTCCATCTCAAAATTTAATCTCAAATCAGTGATTTCAAAGTGATAGTAGGAAATACCAAGAGTACCAGGTATTTCAATATGGTAGGTTTCTTACATTTTAATACATTCTAATTAGTCAGTTGCTCATCTTCAAGAGCCTTGATTGATTGCTGGGAAACAATAGAATGAATATTGTAATTTTCTTAATGTTATAGTAAAATTTTGGGAATTATCATGAAATCTCCTATATTTGCTTATGTTCTTTTAATGCCCTGTAGAGCATAACACCAATAACTGTTTGATTCCTAAAGAGTAATGGCCATTTTCCTCTCAAGTTTGAGCAGTGTTATATAATCTGAGCAAACACTAGCGGATGAAATAAGCCTTTCAGGAGACTTATTTGGGAATAGCGTCTTCAACTAAACTTTTACTACTGGCAGTCAGTACTCCTTTTACTTTGGGAGAGGAGCGCGGAATAGAAGGGGGACGGTATGAGACCATAAGAACTGTAATGACTGTTTTGTATGATGCCTTTAACTTTGCAACTTCTTAAATTCACTTTCTCATTTGGTTCAAACAATTTTGAGGACATGAATTTAGCAATTAGATTTCAGTTTTTCTGGTTTGTAGGGTGCTATAGCTGCTTGATGAGGTGAGGTAGGTTTACAGCAGAGTACATATGCCTTGTGTGGACTTCTTAAGACTTTTAAAATTGTCATTCCTTAACGGTCATCATTATAAAAAGCTTGATTTATTTTACTTGATCCAAAAAGCATTATTCCAAAGATATTTTTAAAGTAGAAATTGGACTTAAATCAGTGTTGTTTTCAACTAGTAAGGCTATTTTAGAATTTGGCCTTGCATGCAAGGTCTTTGAGAAGGGAGAATAGGTGAGAAAAGATCTTGACTGCTGAATGTAATGTGCCTTATATGCTGTGCCACTAACACTGGGGCTGTTTTGGTAGTGGAGCTGTGCTATCACTGCTTCACCAGCTAGTGTAGTTAAGCCCAAGCACGAGCCTTTAGTGTGTAACATGCAGTCAGTAGCCCCTCTTCAGGGTTCTAAACAAAGAAAGATGGCCTAATCTAGAGCCCTAAAGGGTAAGGCTTAGGTGGGAATGGGAAAGCGGAGGGTACTGTCTTTAGCCATTACTGCATAGTGCTTTGCTGTTTATAGGGTGCTTTCACATGTCTCATTGGAACTTCATACCAGTCTCTGAGGTAAGCATCCCTATTTTAAAGAAAGACTTGGGAGCTTAAATAATTTTTGTAAGGCTAAAAAAACTAGGTTTTAGACTTCACCGCAGTTCTTTCTTTTGAAGTTGGGGGTTGCAAACATTTTCTGTAAAGGACTACATACTAAGTAAGGTGTTGCAGGCCATATGGTCTCTGTTGCAACTATTACTAACTGTGCTATTGTAGTGTGAAAGCAGGCAGACAATACTTACTTAAGTGAATGAGCATGGCTGCATGCCAATAAAAGTATAAAAACAGGTGGTGAGCAGACCAGTGTTTGCTGATCCTCTGCTTAAAAGCATAAAATAAGTGAGAATAGAGCAGTCATAAAGTTTCAGAAGTCTTAAAACTTACTTACTTACTTAATAGCACACAAACTAATTTGGCACAGTATATATCTTAGGAAACAACATTCCCCTAAATACTGCTTATTGAGATTTAATTTGCTGTACAAAAATGTATTTTGTGACCTTGAAGTCACTTAAGTTTGGCCATTTTCTCAACCCTTCCTTCCGCCAAACCCTGGGCCAGTCATCAAGAGCCAATGTGTGTTCTGTTGTTCTTGGAGCACCAGCCAACTGTACAACAACTGTTATAAAAATGTTTATTGTTTACCAAAACCAGTGGACCTCTTATCAAATGCTGCTTGGTAACAAAATCTTATCGCAGTTTTAATAAAAAAAACAAAGAAATAAGCTAACTATTTGTCTCATTGTCATTAGTTAGACTTTCTGCAAGATCACTTAATCCAGACTTATTCAACGCATTGATTAGATTCTCAGGCGTTGCATGTATTCCCTCTTGATCTTGCCAGGCAACTAGCAGCTGCTTAGCTCTCATCTTCATGTCTTCACTGTCACCTTCAATCTGCCTTATTTCAGAGTCTTTCATTTCCAAGTAGGGAGCCAGAACCTTCCATTGTTCACCCAGCTTGTTGGCAAATACCTCTATTTGTTCCCCTGTTACAGGTTTGTCTCGCCGAACATCAGGACCTATAAATCAGGGAATGTAAATTATATGCAAAATACAATGACATGTGCAACTCAAAATATACAACAGAACTGGAAAGATACGGGGCCTCTGGAAGAGATGAATCACCTTTACCAAAATCTTGCTGCTTTTGAATCAATTCCAACTCAGCAACCCTACAGGACAGAGTAGAACTGCCCCATGGGTTTTCTAAGGCTGTAATCTTTGAGGAAGCAGACTGCCACGTCTCTGCCCCACAGAGTGGCTGGTCATGGACCTTTGGTTAGCGGCCGAATGCTTAACACCTTTAGTAAGCTTTTATTCTCCATGGGTTGAATACCACACTTATAAATCATGATCATTAGGAGATCAATAATCAAAGTTAAGGCCATTACCCCTATTATAAAAGGCTTTTTCTCCCCTGAAACCAGCTACTCTCCCTACAGTCCCCCCTGCCCCCAGTAATCAACAGAGGTATGGTTCACCTTCAAATGCAAGTACCTTCCTTCCCTTTTAAAATAATCATTGTTTTCTAGTTTTATTGCATAAAAGTATAGTATTTCTAAGCTATTTTCAAGCAATGTTTTTAATACCTTATTAAAAATAGGTCAGAAACAGAGATGGTAAAAGTTGAGAAGTAGATTAAATAACGTATCTCAATAAAGAACCCCAATCTTCTAATTTTGTAAACTAGGCAAGAAAATTCAATTCTTACTTTCATTTTCCTTCAGTAAAGCATCATTATCTTCCTCATCTTCATCCTCACCTGTTTTTATTTCTTCAGAAGGAGGCTAGGAATGAGAAAGAATGCGAGAACGCCAACTTTCAAAATAAGTAAGTGGGCATTTTTTTGTTTAGATATAGTGGTTGGGAAATTCACGGTACAGGGCCCACAGCCTTACTCCGAGGGTGTTAAATATGACTGTCACGTAAGGCTCACAAATGGGGATGGTCAAGCAGGAGGAGGAGTGCCATTGGGGAAGAGCTAAGGGCTGGAAAGACTTCCTCCTGCTCCCAACCTGGGAAGAAGGCAGGCAGTAATAAGATGGTCTACAAACACCTCGTGTACAGTAACAACTGTCTAGGGAAGACTGGGGGAGCAACAGTGTCCTTAACATTTTTTTGAGTAATTTTACTGGATCTTCAGCACACAGTCTAGTTATTAGTTCTCCTAATACCTTTCCTTGGAGAACAGATTGTAGAGAGATGGGCCAAGTTTCCCCCTCTCTGATAAAAGACAATATAAACTGGAAGACAAGAAAAATTCATGTCTGAGCTTACAGATGGACAACAGTTTATCCAAAGTATTGCGGACCGAGTGAAATTCCATGCTGCATATAAAATTGTTAAAGTTACTTCTTTCTTTATGTACTCCCTGTAAGTGTATACCCAAATGCATTTTTTTCCTCATTCTAAAATATGGGGATTTAGGGATCACTATTCTAAACTGTAAATTCAGCTCTTTGCTCAAATGATGATGACAGTTTTAAAGATGACAAATATCAACTAAAGGACATGAAAAAATTGATCTATATTAACTTACTGGTAATTCCTTGGCTAGCTTTATTACCATGTTTTCAAGATATTCTGGCAAACTTTTAAACTGCTGGTTGGTTGGCTGGAAGAAATGAGGGCTTCTCCGTGCTAACAGTCTCAGGGCTCTCCAGCCATAATTAGAATTGTTCACAACCCTGTAAGAAATGTTACCTTCTGGTTAGTACAGTTCTGCCGCTTGAAATTCAGTACTCTAAGGTAAGTCACTGAAAGTATCATTCTTTAATTTTGATCCTATTCTTAAAGAACTACTCAGTATGTAGCTCATTTATAAATAATAGAAACCAAACAATAAAGAAGCTAGCAGAGGCCCAAGAGGTAGACTCATATGCAGGAAAAACACTTAAAATTTTTACGTTTTATTTAAATTTTAAAGGTCAATGAGTGTGTCCAGTACTGGCTAGAAGGTACACGTGTAGAACAGGGCTCTTCCATCTAGTTAACTGGAACGGAAACTGGAGCAGACACATGATGTTCAGCGAGTTGACAGCCGTATTAGCAACGGCACCTGCGTATGAGTTTCAGAGTATTTTTATAAACTCAAATGTTTTTGATCATGTTAATTTCTATCTGTGTAACACCTATACTTCAGTACCAACCTCTAAATATAAAATGGTTCAAATACTAAAAAGGGGCTACCCAAAAGCCACCAGTGATGTCAAGAACAGAATCCATGAACTGTCTCCTAACGAAGCACAGCAATGACAGGCGGTGCAGTGAGAAACAGAAGTCTCAGAGAAATTCTAAAGGTGCTGCTCCAAAAACAGGCAAAGCTGAAGAATCCAAAGCACGAATATATTACATTTATGACTTGGGAAATCATTTGATCGTTCTCCCTGCTTGGCAAATCATTTGATCCTTCTCCCTGCTCCCCCAAGACCGTGCTGACAAAAGTTAATGCCACGCTGTAAGACTGCGCCTAAACAGTCTTCCTCTCTGACATGTTTGTTTAAAACACTGAATCTTCTAAGCATTTTCAAAATTCCCTATCAAATCATACATATACAATTTATTATTCTCCACAGATCCATACCATTCAAATTTGAACTATCACTTTAAGGTCAAATCCACCTAGTCTTATGTAACAATGATAAATCAAAACTCATTCAATTAGCACATACTGAGCTAAGCATCAGAAGTTGTGCATGGACATAGCTTATGGGCATCCTTAACACTCAGGAAGCATAGTGTTGTAGCTAAGACCACAGCCTCTGAGCCAGACTGATTTTCCTGCCTCTGCCATT